TAAACTGAACCACATAAAAGTAATACTGTGGTTCGGAACTTTTTAAAAGAAAAGTAAACATTCGGAAATTTCATGTCTGCCACGTAACTAATGTGACTGCATTTCACACAGGTATTGGGAAATGAGAGAACAGCGCACCCCCACCTTGAAAGGCAAGCTGGTTCAGAAGGCTGATCAGGAGCAGCAGGACCCTCTGGAATACCTTCAGTCTGATGAGGAGGATGACGAGAAGAGAGGGGCCCAGCGCCGGCTGCAGGAGCAGCGGGAGCGCCTGCACGGAGCCCTCGCGCTCATAGAGCTTGCCAACCTGACTGGGGCACCACTCCGACAGTAGCCTGGACACTGACTCTTCCACTGTACAAAAGTACTGCCCAGCGTACTTAAAAAGTAGATCCTTGGGCATAAGCTAAGCACCTTATTTGCTTATCATAGGCTGCTATTCTGTAGAAATGTATGAAGAATGTTATTGCCCCAGAATATGGGGTGAGAGAGAAATGCACTTTTTTTATATGGAAATGAATTTGTTGTAAAGTTTAAAATATTTTGTAAATATGGACTGCACAGTACAGGGTAGAAAATTCCTACATATTGTGGGAAGCTAGATTTTGCAAGTTTAATGCATTCATTGGAAGCAGTTCTCACAGGAAGCACTTTCTGAATAAGACACTTGTTTGAAAAACGGAATGGTACAAATAGCCAAAGAAGGTCGAAACAGATTATTTATAAGATCATTTTTAACAATATATATTAGTATGTTTAACAATACTGTAAACACTGAAGCAAGCAAGAAAGTATAAAATATGTAAGATAGATAATTTTAATTGCAAAATACTGGGCCCACTAAGGCTAGAGAAATGGGAGGCTGACTATTTTGGAAGATGTTCTAAGTAATGGACTTAGAAGAAAATAGATATTTGAGGATCTTGGTAAGATGCACAATAGTTCAGAGTTTTTGAAATTGGAGTAAAATCAGTCTTATTCTATCTTTCTGGGGCTTTACAACTCAGTATAATGTTTAAGTCTGAAAAGCACTTGTCATCCCTAGCATATTAACTTGGGAACTTTTGCACATTTCATATTTCTCATTTGCTGAAATTGAGTGATTAATCTTGCAAAGTCTAGGTAACATAGTAATTGGTAATTTTAAAAATACATATTAAGGGCCCTGTAATGAGATTTGGCACTTGGATTTTTACTAAAGGGACACCTACAGGGTTGTTTTGTAGTGAAATGTTTTAGATCTTTTATTAGCAAACACTACATTTTAATTTTACTGCTTGTTTAGAATTATTAGCAAATGGAAGCCTCCATATTTATATTTTCAGTGCATAAAGCCACCTTCTTGCTTTACTTCAGAGTAACATGCCAAGCTATTTTGTGTTCACTAAATTTAGCTATCAGTTAAACACTGCAGAAAATATTAGCTACTCAAATAAGTAGGCTTCTGAAATAGTTTTAACTGCAAGTGTGTTAACTTGTGTGGTGGTTTTAAGCCATTTTTCCAAATAAAGTTATTAAACACCACTTTATGTACTGAAGCATGAACAGAAAAATCAAGAGCTGAGCAGAACACCTCCTTTATGTAGGCAAAACTTCCATCATTTTGGCTTTTGTTCTAAACAGAACTAAATGACATGCATAGCATGGTAATTTACAGATTGCTTAATTGGAGTAAAACTCAGAGTAATAGAGGGAAATACAGGCTCTTCAGTGCCTTTTTAGCTTTTTTGAATTGAAGGGGTTCCTACAGATGTAGTTTAAACATTAGAAAGTAGGCTTCTTTATCCAAAAATCCCAATGTGTCATAGTACACAGATAGTTTAAAATATGTAGCCACGGGGAAGGGGAGGCATGTAAATGTCTTGAAGAGGAGAAAAAGTATGAAAGAAGATACGATAGTTACAAATAATGTGTATGACGAGGACATACTTTAAAAATGTAATTCCTCTGTACAGTAAATTGCAAATCTTTAGGGATTTTTTGTAATAAGAGAATTTATATTTGTAATGGTCTAAGAATTTTGTTTGTAATGTGGTATATAGAAATTTAATTTGGAGCACTTATAAGCTGGTAAGAGACTATAGCATCTGAATTATCTTGGTTTATGTTTCAGCATTTCCTCTAGAATTTTTGCTCTCAAATATGTGATTTAATGAACTGAAAACAACACTCATCAGTCTTGGGAAATTTGAACTTTGATCAACTTAACTAAAGAAGGAAGGGTAGTAAGAATTTTTCAAATACAAATATTTGCCAATTCACAGATGATAACATTTAAAGCCTTCAAAAGAAAGGGTTTTTCCTTGTTTCTCCAGTCAGCTTTTGTCAACTCTAATAGTTTTTTCATAAACATTTTTTATTTGTATAATTGCAACAGTTTAAGAAATTATTACAACTATTTACTACAGAAACATTTAAAATGTTCTTTTTTGATATAAGCTATATACTTGGGAAAATACATTGGTATCTAAAATTTGAGGTGTGTTAAGACTGCTTTTTGTTTTAAAAAATGTGGTTTACATTCAAATTTTTGAAGTGTTTTATGCTTCATATGGCTGAGTTGTAGTTTGGCAGAGTTAACAGCATAAGAATAAACATGCTGTAATTTTAAAAGATGCTTTGAATAAAAATTTATTTTAATTTAACATTTAAAGTACGCAGTCATTCTTAAAGCCTTTATAATTTGTTTTCCTATCAAAAATATAATAACCATGATATAAAAAATTTTAAAAGAGAGAAGCATTACCTACAGCCTTATATTCAGCCATCAGTATTATTTCAGTACATGTTTGCGTAGTTGTAAGTACAGTGTGGATTGCTTTTTCTTACTTAAATTATGGCCTTTAAGGTTATGGATATTTAACTTCCTCATCTGGTTCATTACTACAGTGTTAGAAATATACTGCTGTGGATAGGTATTGAACTATTGCCACCCCATTCCCAGGCCTTAAATTAGGGTAATAAGGAACTGGGATTTCATTTCACTTACACTTAGGATGGGTTGACTCTGGGCTCACCTCCTCAAGAATCCACTTAAAGCCTGTGTACTTATCTAAGAGTATAGCAAATTGGTTTTCTTTTTTCATCAGTTATTTTTGGTAGATCTTTAGTTGTGTGTTTGCAATGGCAAGGGTCAGCCTGTCCTACACTTGTGCAGAAGAATATCACAAGCAACTCCTTAGCGTGAGTTGCTATTTAAACAGGGTAAGGATGGGATTTTGACAGCGAGTTAAGGTCCTGGAAGTATGTATATACAAGCAAACTAAATGCAATTATGATGAAGGCTGTCATTAAGTGACTTCAAAGTATTCTTTTTGCAGTCAAAACATTTGGAGACTCACAAGAAAACTGAATGTTCTGAGGAAATTAACCAAAATGATTTCTTGTTCAACTTGAATATGGATTCATTTTCTCTTTTAAAACGGACTTAACATGTCTTTTCTTTCTTGTTTTGGGTAACTTGGGCTCTTCTGTTCTTTTTAATGCTAGCTAATTTTCACGAGTTCTGCTTTAGTTTTTATCAGGGCTGAAAACATTTCACAATTTTCATTCTCCTGGTGGTTTAGTGCCTAAGAGTAGAAAAACAATTCTCTGGGCATCTATATAGTTGGGCCCCAACTTTTATTGAACTTGAAATCTTCAGTTTTTCTAAGAACCTAAAAGTTCATATATATATATATATATATATATATATATATATATATATATATATAGTAGTTGTTTTTAAATTAATTTTTTTTTTTTTTTTTTTGAGACGGAGTCTTGCTCTGTCGCCTGGGCTGGAGTGCAGTGGCCCGGATCTCAGCTCACTGCAAGCTCCGCCTCCCGGGTTCACGCCATTCTCCTGCCTCAGCCTCCCGAGTAGCTGGGACTACAGGCGCCCGCCACCTCGCCCGGCTAGTTTTTTTGTATTTTTAGTAGAGACGGGATTTCACCGTGTTAGCCAGGATGGTTTCGATCTCCTGACCTCGTGATCCGCCCGCCTCGGCCTCCCAAAGTGCTGGGATTACAGGCGTGAACCACTGCGCCCGGCCAAAAGTTCGTATTTTTTTAAAGACTGACAAGACCAGGCGGTTCTGGGAAGCTCTCCTTCAACTGACCTGACCCGAAGGCAAAGGGCCCTCCGCAAGGAGTGGACCTGCTACAAAGCACCCAGAGGACACCCAAGTCCCAAGGCTTCTCCCACCTTACTCCTAGCCACTCCACTCCTAGATATTTATTTAAGAAAAATGAAAACACAGGTCCCACAAACGCTCACGAATTTTCATGGAAGCATTTTTCCTAAGGGTCCTAAACTGGAAACAACCAATGGATACACAATTTGTGATGCTACTCAACGATTAAACAAACCACATGGTCGAGTCTACAACATGGAGTGAAAAACCCTGAGACCACACGCTCATTCATAAATTCTAGAAAGCATCCTGTTTATTTGAAATTCCGGAAACGGCAAACCTAACCTGCAGCAATAGTCATCCATGAGATGCGGGCGTTAACTTCAAAGGGGCAGCAAGGGGAACTTTTTGGGACGATGGAAATGTTCTGTTTTGAGTGGTTACTCGGGTGGATGCCTTTGTCGAAGCTCATCTGAAACTATGGACTGGCAAGATGTGTACACTTCATTGCACGTAAATTACACACTAGACAAAAAAGTTGTAGAAAAAAAAAAAAAAGCAGAACAAGTCCTGAGACGTACTGCAGCGTTTCTCTCCAGGAAAGTCTGGAGGAAGGCAGCGCTTTTCAACTCCCCCACGCGCTTCTGACCCTGGAGACCGGAGGAGGTGCCTGGAGACCGGGCGAAGTGCACCGCGCAGGGTCCTCCCGCGCCGGCCTCGGGGCGCCGGCAGGGGGCGGGCCGGGACCTGGGGTTGCGCCGGGCTCTTCCTGTTCCTGCCGCGCCCTCTTCCCCGGCCCGGCCGGGCGGGACCAGTGCGCGGCCGGGGCTGGCGGACGGCGGGGTCCGCGCGGCCGCGGGAGATGACGGCCGCCTGCCAGGCCGAGGCCGAGGGCGCTGGCGGGGAGCCCGGCGCGGCGCGGCTGCCCTCGCGGGTGGCCCGGCTGCTGTCGGCGCTCTTCTACGGGACCTGCTCCTTCCTCATCGTGCTGGTCAACAAGGCGCTGCTGACCACCTACGGGTGAGGCGGGGCCCGGGGCCGGGGGTCTGCGGGAGTGCGGGGCTGCCCCTGTCCTCCGTGCGCTTCAGCCGCGCCCGGGACAGGGCGGGTGGGGACGGGGACCCCGGAGTCTCAGCCGGGCACAGTGGCCGAGTTTCCCAGGCGCCCTCCGGAACTCGCGCAGCTTTCCACACTCAGGCCACAACCTGAGAAAGTCGTTCTCCTCGTCCTGAGCGCGCCTGCCCTGCTGCGGGGCGCCCCGTCCTCGGCGGGCTGGTGGAGCTCGGACAGATGCTTCCACACACCCAGCGAGCTGAAAACGGATTCCAATGCCTGCTTCAAAAGACGCAGTTCCCTACACAGATCTCCATGTTCAACGGTCAGGTACTCCTGAGCCAATAAGTCTGTATTGATTGACTCTCCATTCTCAGATGACCAGCGTGTTCGTGGAAAACTCGGGAAAACAACTGGAAGTTCATACGAAGTACTTTTTTGGATTAGTGTGAAGTAAACCAGCAAATCTGTGCTGTCTGGAACTTATTTGTAAGGACTAGAAAATCCTGCTTAATTCTGCTACCATTGTAGCGGCACTGACAAAATTGTGGATTTAGACCCAGCTCCACCAGTTAACAGCTGTCTCTTTGGACCCGTCTCATCGTCAACAAGTTTTTTAAGATGCAAAAAAAATTAATGATTACAATCGGGTTAATTACCTTCCAGGGCTCTGCGCGAGCTGTTATACGTGAAGGCTGTTTGTAAACTCTACTGTGTTACAAGAATGTGACATCAACATTTCAGAGCCCAAAGAGACCTAGAGAGTGTCTTAGCTAGAGAGTACCTTAGAGTATCAGCTTTCTTATTTTATGTATAAATACCGATTGAGCTTATGTGGGTCTCAGTTTTCTCGAATATAAAATAAGAAAGCGGAGGCTGGATGAGGTGGTTTGCACCTGTAATGACAGCATTTGGGAGGCCAAGGCAGGCATATGTATATATAATATATGATAAATAATATATATAATATATATTATAAAATATATAAATATATACATATAGTGTGTGTGTGTATATGTATAAAATTGTTTTGAGACAGGGTTTCACTCTGTTGCCCAGGCTGAAGTGTAGTGACACAATCATGGCTTGCTGCAGCCTCGACCACCTGGGTTCTAGCAGTCCTGCTGCAGCCTCCGGAGAAGCTGGGACCATGGGTGTGCACCACTACACCGGCAGTTTTTGATTTTTTTGTAGAGATGGGGTCTCAGTGTGTTTCCCAGGCTGGTCTTAAACTCCTGGACTCGAGGGCTGCTTTGGCCTCCCAAAGTGCTGTGATTACAGGTGCAAACGATCATCCAGCCTCACCTTTCTTATTTTATATTCGAGAAAACTGATACCCACATAAGCTTGATTGGTTGTACCTCCAACAGATATTTATTAAGCACCTACTAAATACTGAGCCCATCGCAAGCACCAGGGAAGCCTCTGTGAACAGCACAAAGTCCCTGCTGTGGAGATTCTGCTTCAGCGGTGGAGACAGAAAACAAACAAGTAGGTTTATGAATAAACGAGACACTTTCGGATCTGACATGAGAGTGCCTGGGCTGGAGTAGCTGTCACAGAGCATTCCAGGTAGAAGTGAGCAGCACGTGTGCAACGTGCTGACGTGGGCACGAGCTTGGCTGCTGGAGGAACAGAGAGAAGGTCACTGTGCCTGGCCAGGGAGGTAGGCCGGGAAGGCGGGAGTCAGCTCTTTCTCTCATTCGGTGGCTTTCACTAAGCACTTGTGATGTACCAGCACTGTTCGAGGAGAACAGTGTTTTCCCACTGTTCTTGGGAAAGAGAAGTGAAGAGAGCAGATCAGAATCCTTAACTTCATGGAGCTGCATCCTCGTGAACCAATAAATGAGCCAGTAACATTTACATTATGTCAGATGTGACCAAGGTGCTGGGGAAAAAATAAGACAGGAAAGGGAGTGAGGGAGACAGGGAGGGGAGAATATGCAGTGTGAGCGTGATCAGTGGAGCCTCAGGAGGAGGTGGCATTGGAGCCATGACCCGGAGTGAGGTGGGGACGTAAGCCACACTGGGGGACGGGGGGGAAGAGCATTCCAGGCCTGGAGGAGGGAAGAGTTTGAATGGGAATGGTACCAGATGGAGTTTGAGAGTAATGGATTGCTGGCCTGTGTGGGGCCTTTGGAGGCCACCGCGAGGGCTCTGGCGTCAGCTCTGAGTGAGATGGGAGCCACACAAGGTGTTGGGCAGGGGAATTACATGATCTAAATCACTCTGGCTGCTGTGTTGAGAGCACATATCTGGGGACCAGGGTGGAAGGATGAGACGGGATAAATAGTTGTAGTTTCATGCTAAATGCAATTGGAAGTCCGTTGGAAGGTTTTGACATGGGAGTGACCTGACACAATGTGTGTGATTAAGAAGATTTCTCCGGCTGGCAGGCAGGTGGAGAACTGACAGTACTGGCAGCAGGGAGAGGGGTTGGAAGCCACTGCAGGGCTGCAGGTAAAGACAGCATGGACTGGGCAGGGCATAGCAGCAGTGGTAAAAGGAAGGGATGGATTTGGGATTTTTTTTTGGTGATCCTGTGGCCGTCAGTATTCTTGGCAAGGTCTCTCCAGTGTATTACAGCCTGCTGCCTGACGTCCATGGGAAACACAGCCCTGCCTCAAGGAAATGAACATGGACATACTGTTCCTAAACCTGGAGCATTTGACACGGAAGCGAATGAAGGAAAAAGAAAACTTAAACACGATAAAAAAAAAAAAGAAAAAAGACCGGGTGCGGTGGTTCACGCCTGTAATCCCAGCACTTTGGGAGCCTGAGGTGGGCAGATCATGAGGTCAGGAGTTTGAGACCAGCCTGGCCAGCATGGTGAAACCCTGTCTCTACTAAAAATACAAAAAAAAAAAAAAAAAAAAAAAAATTAGCTGGGCATGATGGTGCACGCCTATAATCCCAGCTACTTGGGAGGCTGAGTCAGGAGAATCATTTGAACCCAGGAGGTGGCAGTTGCAGTGAGCTGAAATTGTACCACTGCACTCCAGCCTGAGCAAAAGAGCAAGACTCAGTCTCAAAAAAAAAAAAAAAAAAGGAAAAAAATACCAGAAAAAGAGAATGCTATTAATGGGCTTGTTTGGGAGTGGCCAGTCATTATGTTAATAACAGTTGAAGATAAGTCTTCATTTTGTGCACTTGGGTGAGCAGGGTGCTGACTGGCCATGGCAGTCAACGCCTCCAAAACCCAAGTCCTCTTGTTGGAAGCAGGCGCCGGCAAACCATGGTTAGTGCTTTGAAGATGAAGGGCAGTGTTCAACCAGGAAGAATTACGATATAAGACACCACCTAAGAAAGGCTCTAAGGGCCGGGCGCAGTGGCTCATGCCTATAATCCCAGCACTTTGGGAAGCCGAGGTGGGTGGATCACCTGAGGTCAGGAGTTTGAGACCAGCCTGGCCAACATGGTGAAACCCCATCTCTACTAAAAATACAAATATTAGCCAGGCGTGGTGGCAGGTGCCTGCAATCCCAGCTACTTGGGAGGCTGAGGCAGGAGAATCGCTTGAACCTGGGAGGCAGAGGTTGTGGTAAGCTGAGATCATGCCATTGCACTGCAGCCTGGGTAACAGAGTGAGACTCTGTCTCAAAAAAAAAAAAAAAAAAAAAAAGAGGCTCTAGCCTTTCTATCTTTAAATTATTGAGTTTCATGATTGAAGGAGAAAATGGAGTTCTTGCCTTAGGAAGGCCAAAACCCTCATAATCCTTTTAAATAAACATTCCACATTTCTGTAATGTAATATACAGTTGGAGAACCCTGTTCACATAACATTGTTCATTCTTTCCTCTCAAAATGCTTTAAGCACACATTATTGAGGGGAGGAGGACTGGGGTGATGTGGTTACAGCAATAAACTATAGAAATCGGATCCAAGCGTGAGCTGTCTGAGGATAGAGTGTTATGTTGTAGGATAGAAGAAAGGACCTTTTGGTAGTTACCTAATTCGCAGGGTCATGGGAATGTAACTCAGGGGATACTTTTTCCTCTTTCATTTTGGGCAGATTGTTTCTGGTCAGGGTACAAAATGAATGGGTGATCTTAGTGATTTGTTAGTTTTATAATTCATTGTAATGCCAGATTTACCTAGTTGGACAGAGAGACCTTTGAAGGCTGTGAGAACCTTTTAAGGTGAGAGGGGAAAATAAGGGCATTTAAGAGTTTGTGGCCAGTTAGTTATGCTCTTTTTTTTTTTTTTTTTTTTTTTGAGACAGGGTCTCACTCTGTCGCCCAGGCTGGAGTGCAGTGGGGGACCATCATAGCTCACTTCAGCCTCTACCTCCTGGGCTCAAGTGATCTTCCCACCTCAGCCTCCTGAGTAGCCAAGACTACAGGAGTGTACCACTACACCCGGCTAATTTTTGCTTTTTTTTTTTTCGTAGAGAGGGGTTCTTGCCATGTTGCCCTGGCTGGTCTCGAACTCCTGGGCTCAAGCAATCCGTCCGCCTTGGCCTCTTGAAGGGCTGGGATTATGGGCGTGAGCCCCCACGCCTGGCTTGGTTATACTCTTGGTCCTTTGGATCAGGTTCATAAGGGTTGTACAGTTGTTCTGGAGTTGTGGAGTTTTTTCTCTTCTTTCTTTTGAGACTGGGTCTTGTTCTGTCACCCAGGCTGGAGTGCAGTGGCATGATCAAGGACAGCAGCCTTACCTCCTGGGCTCAGGTGATCCTGTCACCTCAGCCTCCTGAGAAGCTGAGACTACAGGTGTGCACCACCACTCCGGGATCATTTTTGAATTAAAAAAATTGTTTGAATTTTTAATTTTTGTAGAGATGGGGTTTTGCTCTATTGCCCAGGTTGGTCTCAAATGCCTGGGCTCAAGTGATCCTCCTGCCTTAGCCTCCCAAAGTACTGAGATTACTAGCGTAAGCCACCACACCAAGCTGGTCTTTTCTGTTTTAATATTATGTAATATTGTACTCCTAGTCTATGACATGGAAGAATTTACTAATGATGCTTAATAAAAATATCTAACTTTACTGTATTCATTTCAACAAATATTTGCTCAGCATTTGCTATATATGTTTAGTACGCATCCCAAGGCTTTGAGGTTTTGTTTTTTGAGACAGGGTCTTACTCTGTCACCCAGGCTGGAGTGCAGTGGTGCAATCTCAGCTCACTGGAACCTCTGCTGGCTCAGACAATCCTCCGAAGTCAGCCTCCTGAGTTGCACGCCACCATGCCCAGCTAATTTTTTTTTTTTTTTTTTTTTAGAAATGGAGTCTCAATATGTTGCTCAGGCTGGTCTTGAACTCCTGGGCTCAAGTGATCCACCTGGCTTGGCCTCCTAAAGTGCTGGGATTACAGGCGTGAGCCACTGTGCCTGGTCTAGACACAGTAATTTCCAAACCTGCCCAGTAGTCTCAATCACTTGGAGAGGTTTTTTTCGTAGAAGGTACTGAATTGGAATCCTCAGTGGTGGGAACTGGAATTCTGTATCCCAAACCAAATGCAACTCCTAATGTGCTCTTACTTTAATGAAAACCTGACTCTGTCCTGAAGATGTTGCTCCCTTCACCCCCCTCAATGGGCTGGATCTTTGCCTTACCCACCAGGCCTGGGCCAGGAGATAGGATTGGGTCCTCCTAGCTCCCAGCTGCTCATGCTCTGTTGAGACTCTGGATGTGCCATCCTTTCTGTCCCCTGTGGAACGGTGCCTGAGCTTCTGGTGACTGATTCTGTAAGTCTTAGCCTTCCTCTCCACCTAGCTCAGGTCACCCTTCCTGTGGCTTCAGGGCCCACACGCTGCAGTGTCACAGTCTCCTCTGGTCTCCAGCAAACTCTCCTGAACCTTGCTTTCCACGACTGCTGCCAGGACCCTCTCCTTACAAGGGTCAAAGTCAAAATAACAATGTGCAGACAAGGCTCTAAATTTAATGTTTTATTTGGGAAGAAAGAATTGCAGTGTCAGTCATCCATACAAGCTGGGTGGTCTTTGGTATGTCTGAAGAACGAAGAGAAGGTTCGAGGTTTTGCTGAAAAAGAAGAAATGTTACATACTCTGCTGGGAGAAGGTTTCTTGGTACTGTCAGAGTTTGGGGAGCTGGCAAGCAATGACTGGTGAGCGAAGGTGGTGGCAAAATTAGTCTTGGAGTTGCAGCAAGTGGTCTCAGAAGCTGGAGATAAAACTGGTTTCAGGTTACAACAAGCAGTTCCAGCAGTTGGGCTTGCAGACAGTTACATTCTTGAGCAACGTTTTATACCCTGAGTGCTTTTCCTACCTGGCTACTGTTTTAGTTTGGTAGGACAACAGTGGCCCATTTCGGATGATCAGCGGTAACGCGAGTAACCGCACCTCTCCAAGATCTCCAGGCTGTCCAGCTTGGCCTCCCCAGGCCTCCTCCTCACTCCCTTCTCACTGCTGTGACTGTGCCCCCTGGCATCGTTTCCCTGCTTGGTCCGCTGCGAGCCACTCTAGGAGGGGCACGTGAGACTCTTTCCTTCTCACCTCCGCGTGCACTTGTCTTCTGCTTGCTGCTTTCA